CTCTCCTCCTTTTGCTCCTGCTCCTCCTCCTCCTCCTCCTCCTCCTCCTCCTCCTCCTCCTCCTCCTCCTCCTCCTCTTTTCCTCCTCCTCCTCCTCCTCCTCCTCCTCCTCCTCCTCCTCCTCTCCTCCTCCTCCTCCTCCTCCTCCTCCTCCTCCTCCTCCTCCTCATCTTCCTCCTCCTCCTCCTCCTCCTCCTCCTCCTCCTCGTCCTCCTCCTTTATGTCCTTAATGTCCTACAAAGACAAATTCCGCAGAGCAGAACTCGCCCACCTGCTCCGCAGGAGATTTTCCTTGGCAGGCCAGGCCAGGCACAAAGGGACCTGGGGGAACAAAACCCTGGCCAGCCACGAGACCAAGTTCAAACAAAACGCCTCCGCCGAGCGCCCAGCACCTCCCCCGCGGGGGCCGTGGGGCAGCGAGCTGATAGCGACGAGTCGGATTACCCGTCGCATCTCGCGCAGGAGCGACATGTAAGCGTTTGCGTTTTGCTTCCCGGGGAGGAAAGTTCAAACGGGCCCCGTGCGGGCTGCGGCTAAGGGAAAAGGCAGCCCCCAGAACTTGCCAGACTGGGGTTCCTTGCCCGCGCTGAGCTTCTCCAAAGCCACGCGAGCCAGTCGAGCCGCTGTCCGAGCCTTCAGCGACAAGGGAGTGCACGGCTGGGAAAGGAGAAGAGCCTGGCAACGGCCATACGCGCCGCACGCGCGGCAGCAGACAGTCGCCTCCGCCCCACCCCGCCCCACCACCCTGAAACGCCCACAGCCTATGGGAGGGGTGGGACGTGGCCGATATCCTGGGGACCCCCGGGCACGGGTGTGAGACCAGATGGGGCCTGAGGCCCCTCCTGACCCCGCATTTCTCGCACCCCCAACAGCTCCCGAGACGAACGATAGAGTGGCCCCTCGGCGAACTCTCTAAAATCAGGCCGCTTCTGGGGGGGGGCGCGGGCGTGGCAGGGGACCTCGGTCAGGCCAGTCTAGACGAGCGTGCCTCTTTAAAACCTCGCCGTAATGGCGCGGGAGCAGGGCGGCGGCAACCTTAGACGTCTCCCACCTCCGCTCCAACACCTCCATGTTCAGCTGCGGGTGGAGCCTCGCACCGAGTTTCGCGCAGTGGTCGGCCTGGTCTATGTGCCAGACTATGCAAATCCACAGGTCAGCATACTTGTGACGCGGCCCACAACAAAACTCGCGGCCCCGATTGTAATCCTCGCGCGCCGCCTGGCAGTCCGCGAGCACATCCAAGGCCTCGTGGCTCTCCTCTTCCAGGGTCTTCAGCAATGCGAACAGCTCCGAGTAGCCACTCTCCTGGACCCAGCCTGGGGCGCCGCCGCGCATGCCCCCCAGGATCTCGCCTCGCCGGGGGGGCCATGATAGACGACCTGCCTGCGCGGGATAGCTGTTTGCACTCAGGCATGGTCACCGAGCCGTCGACGCAGACCACCCATCGGAAAAGCTTCCTGGGGCGAGACCAGCTCGCAGGGCCGCGCCGCTTGAACTCGGCGGTGGAGCCCGATCGAACATGAGATTCACCAGGCCCCTCAGCATGCCCAGGTCGCCGGGCGCCGCCGCGCGCCCAGCCAGAGCGACCACCTTCAGCCCGAGCTCCTCCGCCCAGGTCCTGGACGCCGGGCGCTTGAATTGCCCGTGGCGCGTCGCCCCCAAGGCCGTCTTGCACCACTGACAACTGGGGTCGGTCTCGGACCGCGCCAAGCACAGGTCGCACAGGAACACCAACCCTCCAGCGATGAGGGCCTCCAGAAGCCGCGCCATCTCAGTGCGCCCCTGCGCCCGAAGGCCCGCCGGCGCGAACCCGATCGGGCCCGAGCCAGACGGGCGACCCCACAGCGCCTCGAGGCCAAGGTGGAAGGAGAACTCGCGCACCAGGCGCCTAAAACTCCTTCTTCAAACACGTCGACGATCATCCGCGGGCCGAGCACCGGAAGGCCCGCAACCGCGCCGCGGTCATCGCGCCAGACGCGCCGAGACTCAGCCGCCCAGCCCATCCGCCCAAACGCCAGCTTGACCGCCGCGGCGGGCCCCGCGACAGCGGCCCGCGACTCACCTGGCGCCGCGAACACCATCTTGAAGACGGCGTCGGGCCCGAACTCCCCGAACACGGCGGTCGCCCAGGCCTGCGGCGGCAGCGCGTTGGCGGCGCGCGCTGGGTCTCACCCCCACGCCTTGCCGCCCTGAAGCGCGAGCTGGATGGCCCTCGACTTCCCGCCCGCCTCTCCCGCCAGAGCCTTGCCGTTCAGGCCCCGGCAAGCTGCTGGCCGGGTGCCCCGCGGACGCGAGCCCCGCGCAGGATGGGGGCCAGGCCGCCAGTGCGAAACGCGCCGCCCAGCCGAGCCCCCGCCTCGCGCAAAACCATGCACCTGGAAACCTTCGCCGCGAGGCGAGCGAGGCGTCCGCGCAGGATCTTCCAGGGCGCCCTTTTGACCATCGCGAAATCCACGCCGAGGTCGCGGGCCTCCCTGACGCACCTGGGGCCACACTCCGCGAGCCCGCTGGCCAAGCGCTTCCCCGCAGGCGGGTCGCCGGCGAGGACCTGGCCCTCCGTGGGAGACACCTTGAAGCCCAGCTCTTCCAACCAGCGGCAGAGCACCCTCGCGGCGCCCAGGCTGGTCGCCTCGATCTGCTCGAGCCCCCCGTAGACCACCAGCGTGATGTCGTCGATCACCCAGTAGGTCTTGACGGGCTGCCAGCACCTCAGCACGGCATCCACGGGCTGGGCGAGCACGACACAGAGGAGGGTGGTGGCGAAGAAGCAGCCCGCCAGCAGCGACAGGAGGACGCTGCAAGCATCTGACTTCCAGCGATCCAGAAGGAGACGGCGTCGACCTCCACACAAACGCAAGCGCAACTTCACCCTGGGAAACGGGGAGCCTTCTCGCCGAGCTGCCGCCACCATCCCACTGCGCGCGACCCTCATGGGCCCTGCTCAAGTCCAGCATGGACGCGAGCGCCCCAAGCTGAATCCCCCTCGCGCGGTCCGCGTCGAGACTCTGGAGCCACACCGCATCCTCGCAGGATCTGCCCACGCCTCCGAAGAATACGGGCGGCCCCGGCTCCGCCCCCTGGTCTTCGCCTCCGCGTGGCGGGTCTTCCCCAGCAGTCGCAGGAAGCTGCAGATCAACCCGATCGGCCCCCACCCCGCCGCCTGCGCGGGGAACTCGACCGTCAGCGAGATGAGGTGCAGCAGCAAGCCACTGGCGATCAGACCATCGGTGGGCAGCCACCCAAACTGGCCGGGCATGATGCCGTCGACGCCCACCGCCGCTTTTGACTTGAAGGACTGCGCAGCCTCCAAGATCTCCAGCGGCGTCGGCGGCGGCGGAGGAGGCTCCTGCAGGTCCTCGGGGAGAGCATGGCCCAGGTCGAACTCCTCATGGCCGCGCTTCCACGCCTCCTGACGCTCCTCCTTCAGGGCCCGCAGCGCGGCCGAGATGCCCGCGGGCGAGCCGTCGGCAATCGCCCGGTCACCTGGCCAGTCCACCGGGGCTTTGCAGAAGCCGCGAGCCGCCCCTCTGCCGTCGGCGACGGCCAGCCGCGCCCACTCGCGCCAGCTGCGCGAGCGCTGCACCGCGCAGCGCCTCTCGAACTTCTCCGCCACCGCCCCGGCATGCTTCTTCAGCGCCTGCAACTCCTGGAAAGCGAGGCCCCCAACTGAGCGGAGCTCCCGAGCCAGCCCGGCAGGGCGCCGACGCCGACGGGCATCACCCCCAGGGAAGAGGTCACCCACCAGGTCCTACGCCGCCAGGCGCGAGCTAACTCTGCAGAGCCGCGAGCAAGGCCAGCTCCTGCGGCCGCCGACGCTCGAAGCGAAGGCGGCGACGTGCCTGGGGCATCTCCCACAGCAGGCGCCCGATGCGCCTCCGGCGCCTGGCCTGCTCGCAGCCCCGCAATAACGGCCCCTACGCCTTCGCGGAGACCGGCCGCGAGACGAAAGGCGGCCCCTGCGCCCGACCTGCGCGCTTCGCCTTCTCCACGTCGCCCCCGCCCAAGTCATCCTCCAAGATGCTCGCGAACTCGGCGTGGAGCTGGCCCAGCGTCGGCAGCTCCGACAACCTCTGGGCTGCTCGCGCCCCCCAGGGAATGCGCACCCCTCCCTGGCCAGGGGGGGGGGGCGCCCGACGCCGAGGACCCAGCAGTCGCAGAAGCCCCAATCGTCGACTCGGCTCGGACCCGCCGTCGCACTGCTGCCGCCGTCAGCTCGCCGATCAGCGACACTCAGTCAGGAGGCCCCCGCCAGGGCCCAACGGGCCGCTCAGCGGGAAAAGGCCTGGGCGCATTGCGCGCCAGCGCCTGCCCCCGGCTCTCGGCGCCCGCGACGGTGAGCCGCGCGGAGCAGCGAGGCGCCAGGCCCGCCATCTTCCGCCTCGCGCCTCGCGCCTGGCCTCCGAAACCGCTCGAGGCCACGAAGAGATCGATCTCCGAGCCGCTTCCAATCCGGCAGGCGCGAACACACCACCATGCCGCCCGCCCTGCCCGGCCAGCCCCAAGTCTCCAGGGCCTCGGGGCTGCAATTCCAGTCGCCACCGATGACAAACGGAAGGCGCACCTCCGCGCGGCACTGGCCCACCTGCGCCAAGATGAGCACGCTCTCCGAGTCGAGCCCCGACGCGCCCGCGACCAGGTGGACCGAGAGCGCCGGGAATCCGCCCGAGACCACTGCGCCGATCCACCTCGCCAAGACGCGACCCGCTGGAAGCGGCAAGCCCCTCGGCGGCAGGCCCATGCCACAGCGCGGGCGGCAGGCGATGCCCACCCCGCACAGGAGGCCCCCGCGCGGCCTCCGTCAGCGACGCCTTACAGCCCTCGCGGCGGCAGGCCCGCTCAACCTCCGCCACGGTGCCCGGCGCCACGCCCGTCTCCACGCTTGTCTGCAGCCATTTGAGCACGCTCGCCTTGGACGCGGCGCTGGCCGTCTCCAGCCCCCAGCATTCGCCGGCGCGGCGCTTCCTCTCCAGCAAGCGCGGCGGTTTGGCCACCGCCGGCTGCTTAGGAGACTCCGCCCTCTGCCGCCGCGGCCGCGCCTGTGCCCGCGGCCTCGCGCCCAAGGGGCAGCTTGGCGCGCTTGGGCAGCGGGCAGCCTATGCCTTCGAGGAAGGCCTCGAGCTCCTTCCGCGTCTCGTCGTCGAGGGCCCCGGCCGACTCGAAGAAGGAGCAGATCTCCGCGTCTCCTCCTGAGTCCGTCCAGCCGCCGCCCGCGGTAGGAGCGCCACGACCAGGACCGCCTGCAGCAGGCGGCGCAGGAGCAGCAGCGAAAGCAGCAGCTGCCGTGGCCGCCGCGGCATCGACTCGCGCCTGGGAAGTTGCGGCCAAGCGGCTGAGTGGCTCGACGGCCTGGGTGAACTGCACCGCCTCCTCGCCGTCGAAGCGCCCCCTGAGCTCGGCCACGCACCGCGCCCCCAGCGTCGCCAGGGCCAGGGCGTCGCAGTCAGCCGACTGGGCTGACGGGCCCGCGGGCGCGAGGCCAGCCTGCTCGGCCTGCCGCGCCCGCTCCAAGGCCTTGGTGGCCTCCTGGTGAGAGGCGCGCACCGAGGCTGTCTGCTTGCTGGCCTCCTCCACGGCCGCCTGGGCATCAGCGAGGACCTCCTTCGCCATTGCCGAAGCCGCCTTGGCCTTCTCCGGCTTCTTCCCCACGTTCGTGACCTTCCACATGGCCGACTGCACCACGCACTGGTGGAAGGCGGCGCCTTGGACTCAGCAGGGCCCGCCTCGGCCTTGTCAAGCCCCACCTTGTTCTTCTCCTCCTCGCCGATGTCCACCCCGTTGGCCTCCAGCAGCTCGACGGCCTCCGCGAGCTCGGAGGCCTTAGCGCCCTGGGCCTCGGCGGCCGCCGCAAAGCGCGTGCGCCTCGGCCGACCGCCGCCGTGCACCCAGCCGCCGTCGTCCGCCCCATCGTCGAGGTCCACCACCTCCTCCTTGTTTCCACCAACCTTGTCCTGGGCCTTGGGGCGAGGCGTGGCCTTGGCGGCAGCGCCATGCAGCTTTGGTGGAGGCGAGCCGTCCACTGCAGGGCCAGCCGCTCGCTCGACCGCCCTCTGACGCGTGAGGAAAGGCGCGCTGCTGCCGCAAGCCGTGCATGAGAGCCGGCTCGTCCAGTTCGCGCTCTCCCCGCAAGGGCAGCACCAGTGCGGGGCCTCGGGCCCCGGCAGAACGAAATCGGGAGAGCGCCACAGATGTGTCCCACCACCTCCGTCGGCCCCACGCTGGCGGGCTGGCCGGGGGCAGGTACCCATGGCAGAATGTTTCCGAATTCCACTGGCCCTTGCAGAACACTCGCTCTGAAGTACGCCTGCAGAAACTCCTCGGCCTCCTCCTCCTCCTCCTCCTCCTCTCCTCCTCCTCCCTCCTCCTCCTCCTCCTCCTCCTCCACTCCTCCTCCTCCTCCTCCTCCTCCTCCTCCTCCTCCTTTCCTCCTCCTCCTCCCTCCTCTCCTCCTCCTCCTCCTCCTCCTCATCATCATCATCATCATCATCATCATCATCATTCATCATCATCATCATCATCATCATCATTCATCATCATCATCATCATCATCATCATCATCATCATCATCATCCATCATCATCATCATCATCATCATCATCATCATCATCATCATCATCATCATCATCATTCATCATCATCATCATCAATCAGCATCATCATCCATCATCACATCTCATCATCATCCTCATCATCATCATCATCATCATCATCATCATCATCATCATCATCATCATCATCATCATCATCATCATCATCATATCAATCATCATCATCAATCATCATCATCATCGTCATCATCATCATCATCATCATCATCATCATCATCGTCGTCATCGTCATCGTCATCGTCATCTCATCGTCATCGTCGTCATCGTCATCGTCATCATCATCATCATCATCATCATCATCATCATCATCATCATCATCATCATCATCATCATCATCATCATCATCATCATCATCATCATCATCATCATCCTCCGTTGCGGAGGGTCCGCTGCCGCCATGCCGCCCCCCCGTGTCCGCCCATCTCGCAGCGCCAACGTTCGTGCTCCCTTGCAGCCCGCGGAGCCCCCTCCTCTTGGCGACGGGCTGCTGGTGCGGAGGCTGTCCCCGGGGGTCGGGCCGCTCGTCAGGGTGCGACGTGCTCCCCACGGGCAGCCTCGGGGGGCCCAATGGGGCGGAGGAGCTCGCGCGTCGTTTTGTCCGGGGGACCACGCCCTCCGGGACGCCCCGTGGGCTCTCCCAGGCAAGCGGCTGCTACCAGCGGGGTGCCGCGTCTGCCGTCTGCGAAGCGCCGTGCCGCCAAGGACTCCTGGGATCTCGTGCAACAAAGCAACTTCCGCGAACTCATCCAGGAGCCCATTCTGCGGGGCCCAAGAATACACAGCACCACCGCTTCCCTGAGAGAGGAGAGGACGAAGAGGCTGGAAGAGGGGAGGAGGCATGAAGGTGGTGGTAGTCTGTATTGTTGGCACCCGTACATTCTGGACCATCCTGGATCATCCTGGACGCCCTCGGGGCGCAAGTTACCCGAGACGTACCCAACCCCTCACCCACGGGAGGCGACTAGTCGTACGAACGCTCATACACAAAGAGACATCGCCAGACATGCATGATCAGCGCTGGCCTCATCTCCGCCGTGCCTCCCAAGAGCCCACGAAAAGGGCGACAATTGCGCAGTTGGTAGCCTCCCGAGGAGCCGCGAGGTCTCGGCTGGCTCCGCGTGGCCTCGACTCCGCTGGACCTCCCAGGAGCCCACGAAAGTGGCAACAGCTGCGCAGTTCGCAGCCACCCAGGGAGCTGCGAGGTCTCGAGTACTCCTCTGCTCTACCTTGCCTCCTGGGAGCCCACGAAAGTGGCGACAGCTGCGCAGATCGCAGCCTCCCAGGGAGCTGCAGAGTCCAGGGTATTCCCCCTACTCCGCTGTGCCTCCCAGGAGCCCACGAAAGTGGCGACAGTCGCGCAGTTCGCAACATCCCAGGGAACTGCGAGGTCTCAATTAATGTCCAAAAACACTTTGCCCAAAACAATGGCGACAGTTCCGCCGTTCGCAGCATCCCAGGGAGCCGCGAGGCCTCGACGGGGTCTGAGTATCTCTGCACTCCGCTCGACCTGCCAAGGGCCAACGAAAAGGGCGACAGTTGCGCGGTTCGCAGCCCTCCAGGGTGCCGCGAGGTCTCGGCGGGGTCCGTTTGCCACTCCACTCCGCTGTGCCTCCCAGGAGCCCAGGAAAATGGCGACACTTGCGCAGCAGCCCCTCCCCCCAAAAAGCCGCGAGGTCTGGGCGGGGTCCAAATGCCACTCCATCCAAACCGCTGGACCTCCCAAAAGCCCACGGAAATGGCGATGGTTGCGCAATTCGCAATCCCCCAAGGACCCGCGAAGTTTCGGCGGGATCCGTTTACCACTCCGTTCCGCAGTTCGCAGCCCCCGCCGCGAGATCTCGGCGGGGTCATGTTTCCACTCCACTCCACTGGAACTCCCAGGAGCCCACGAACGTGGGGAAATTGCGCAGTCTGCAGTCCCCCAGGGGATAGCGAGGTCTCGGCGGGGTCGGTGAACCGCTCCACTCCGCTGGACCTCCCAGGAGCCCGCGGAAGTTGCAGGAGCTCCAGGGGCCCAGGAAGGCCCCGCGGCATCGTTTTTGTTGCTTCCCTTGTTGCCTTATCCTTCTTCCACACAATGATGGCGACGGCAAGGTGGACGGACTGGGCGCACTCAGCTTTTCGGACGCTGTTTGCCCCAATTGGTTCTTCAGGTCGCGTGGGCCTTGCGCCGTCACGGCGCGACACAGGAGGAGGAGGAGGAGGAGGAGGGGGAGGAGGAGGAGGAGGAGGAGGAGGAGGAGGAGGAGGACACATTTTCTGAACGATCGAGTGCGAGCCTCGTAAACCAAACAGCCAGCCAGGTGAAAAGGGCGTCTGGGCCCCAATAAAACCGGCCAAGAAGGGCAGACAAGGGCAAACCCGCTCCAAATCACCCCCCGGACCACACTCCCCTGGTCTAAACTGACCGGTGTTTCCGAGCCGCGTCCAGCCTTGGCGACGGAGAGCCCCTTTCTCCTCATACTTCTGCTGACCTGAACCGTGGCGAGCCACCACTACCCCCCAGCCGGCTCCAGGGTGTCATGACCTGCGACCTGCAAGGGGTGGCACCCCTGTCTCGAATCAGATGCTTGCAGGCCCCTGCGAAACTCTACGATCGAGCGCCTTGGGAACAGATGTATCGAGGCCTACCTCGTCCGCGTGGACCCCTCTGGAGCCACACGGTGAGGCTCCGAAGCAGGTATCAGGAGGAGGAGGAGGAGGAGGAGGAGGAGGAGGAGGAGGAGGGGGAGCAGGAGGAAAACAAGGAGAAGGAGGCGGAGAGAGGAAATGGCCAAAATTCCCAACCATCCTGTGATGTTGGGTCCTCGTTTTGAAGAGACAGCGCCCCGCGTCCCACCTCCTTCCTTCTTTCCTCCTCTTCCCCCTCGTCCCTCCTCCCCCTCATTGCCTCTGCACTCGGCACACCTCTCACACGTTTCGTAGCACCATAGGGAGCTCCACCGAAGGCCCCAGTGGTTGCTCTCGCATGCGGTTCCTCCACCCTGGGCAGCGTTTCGTGGCCCCATAGGGAACTCCACCGAAGGCCCCAGCGGTTGCTCTCGCATGCGCTTCCCCCACCGTGGGCAGCGCTTCGTGGCCCCATAGGGAGCTCCACCGAAAGCCCCAGTGGTTGCTCTCGCATGCGGTTCCTCCACCCTGGGCAGCGCTTTGGGGCCCCATAGGGAGCTCCACCGAAGGCCCCAGTGGCTGCTCTCGCATGCGGTTCCTCCACCCAGGGCAGCGCCTCGTGGCCCCATAGGCAGCCCCACCGAAAGCGGCACCCACCACGCGTTACGAACAATTGTTTATGGTTGGGCCCTTCGCCACGATAATTATCTGAGGAAGCTTTCGTCGGCAGCGCGGCGATCGAGCGCCTTGGGAACGGATGTATCGAGGCCTACCTCGTCCGTGTG